CCAAGATGTAGCAACTACTTTACATTACACTCACTCACTTACTCACTCACTCACTCACTCACTCACTCACTCACTCACTCACTCACTCACTCACTCACTCACACTTTAGCTTAGTTCCTGATTTACCGGGGGTCACCACAGCAGAATGAACCACCAGTTTCTCTGACAAATGTTTTATGTGGTGGATGCCCTTCCAGCCGCTTCCTTGAGTGTGCGTAAATTAACTGTAAATTAAACATTTTTGGATGAACTATCCCAGATGTGGCCAAGATGATCTGCTGATGTTCAACCGAAGCATCAAAACAGAACAAAAAGTGGGATTTAAGTAACTTTGAAAATGGTATGATTGTTGGTGCCAGACGGGGCTGGTTTGAGTATTTCAGGAACAGCTGATACTATCATTTTAAGAGAATACAATTTTACAGAGAAAATATCCAGTGAGCAGTAGATTCTGTGGGTGAAATGTCAATGCCAGAGGCCAGAGTAGAAAGAACAGCGCACATGAGCTGAAAAAAAGAGAACAATAACTTAAATAGGCACTAGTTAACTGAAGTCTGCAGAAGAGTTTTTCTAAACACACGTAAAACCTTGAAGCACACTGAACTGTAGACCAGCAGCAGCAGAAGAAGAAAAGCAAGGTGACACTCCTGTTAAAGAGCCCCTAATAGGCATTAAAAAGGGTCATATTTTGGTTTTATTTTGAACCTTGACCGCAGCAGGTAGTAGGAACAGCTAATGGTGGCCATATCAGTGACAATTGGCAGTGTAACCTGAGCTCACAAACGCATTTAAATCTGTAAACAATTCGGTACGCATCACATTTTTTTACGTGGCATTAGACGCGATATGAGAATATAAAGAGTTAACCAGATACACTTCAAGCAGTTACAGGTAACAAAACACAATTAATTACATAATTTGCAAGCTAGAGAAAACAAGGAGGCAACCCTTTCAATCGCACTCCTTTCATTAGTGAAATGGAGGAAGATACTGGTCCATAAACTGTGTACTGTAAAGTTCCTGTCAAGCTCTGACAAAGTCACATATATAGTCTTTTCTGTTCTTTCCTTTAACAAACTAATGAATCCTCCTTTGTAAGCATGTAGATTGCTGGAGCACTCTTCAGAAAATTGACGGGAACACAGCACAAGGCTTGGGCTATAATGCTGAGGTATTATTGCAAAAGTGAACTTCAACCACTGACTCTTCACAGCCTCATCTTTGGGTAGGGAAAATGACACTAACTTTCCCTCACACTTCAGGGCACAGCGTCTTCGTGACTTAATTTAACTAGGATCGGCTATAGTGTTTGTCTTCCTCTTTTTTCTACAGTGTTTGTGCGCAGGGCTGCAGGTTTCAATTTTTTTCCGATCTGCACAAACAACACATGGGCGGGGCTTGAGTTCCGTATTGATGTCACACCGACATGGCTAAAGTCTCATTACAGCGGCGATTCATTCAAACTACTATGAGTCGACTATTTTATAGATGAATCAATAGTTTTCAACACCATACACTTTTAAATTTAAGCCTTAGCTGGATATTTCACTTAACTTCACAGCTGTGTTACACACTGCATGGAAGGTCACTTTCAAAGACCCATAATAGTGCCAGCCCTTCCAACAGGCAATAAAGGCAGTCGCCTAGGGTCCCGCACTTGTTGTATGGCCCCATGAACACCGCTCTTGTATATTTACTGTGAATGTAGGCCAGAGGAAAAGCTTGTCTGTATAAATGATGAACCATGCACAATATACAATCCCAATTAAACGCGATACAATTCACAACGACAGTGAGAAAAAAAAAAAAACTACCTCCACATTTCATTAAAAGAATAGCTCTGTATAATTCATACATATCAATTAGCTGAAAATTATAGTAAATACACAACAACAATATGAATAAAAGCAGAAAATATTAGAAACATACCCAGCAGCACCACACTCTATTTTGCATAACACAGCCCACGATCGGTTATTGGGAACTAGAATGATGTAACGTATTCCTACACAGGTCCCACATATCTCTTTAAATTGGACAAAGGATAGCCAAGCAGGAGCATATCTGTTGCCCCGGGATCTGCGATGGTTGGGGAAATTTGAAATTAAACCAAAACAAACCATTACAATTTGCTTAAGATGAAAATTCGGGATTTGCAACCAGCAGAACCTGCGGGAAGTAAAAAAAAACATCTCTCCAAATAGCTCACATTCGATATAAATCTGGAAAAGTGTCTTAAAGTCTTAAGTAATTTAACATCACACATGTCATTGCTAATTTTAAACAATCTTGATCAAATTTTAATATGAAATTAAATGGCACCCAAACGGGATCTTTCTGGAGCTAAAAAAAAAAAAAACGAAAAGAAGAGCCGAGAAAGAAAGGCAAGCTCAAAGTAAAGATGTGTTCTGCTATGCATAATAAATTATTTAGTTGTATATTACAAGACATTGCAATACTTACAAAGTTTTTGGTTTAAATCTGAGTAAATATCTTTACATATGTGTTACAGTTAATAAAATGTATAGCTTACACTTTTACAGTATTAAAATGTTGTTGTTTTTTTAATCTTACCCAGGGCACCTCAACCCTACAAACCGGCACTGCTGGAAACTAAGGCAAACACTGGAGGAACTAAACTGGACAATAGAAAATTGGAAAAGGTTACTTGGTCTAATAAGTTTTGATTTCAGCTGAAACATTTGGATATGGGTTGGAAGTTGGTACACTGTTTCAGTGTACAGTTTGCCAGTAACTTGGATGTGTTTGGACAGGTGATTTGTGCCACAAAGGAGGAAAGTTTACAACAATGCTAGAACCATTAAATCAGTTCTGAAGGTAAAAGGGGTTCAACCTTGTACTTTAAAGGTGCACCTAAAATACAGTAGCCAGTGGAGGTTTAATAGAGTAAACGTTAACATTAAACATGTTTTATTTAACCAGAGGGTGGGTCTTGTTCATAAAGTTGCTCCTTGTTGTGAAATGACGTGTGTGTGTCACCTGGTCGTTTAGTTTTCACTTTTTTTCTAGGTTGCTAAACAACACTGCCACATTTAATCTTGTGACTAATAGATCTGGCTATTAGATTTGGCACAATAAAAGCAATGGCAAGATCGGCACTTAAATTACAAAAACAACCTCAAAACAGATATAATTAAAAGCCATTTACAGCCTGTTTTGCAGGAAGTGAAAGAGATACAACCTATTAATTTACAGTAATCAGTCACTTAATAAAGGTGGGGTGTCACTTAAACAAAAGCTTTCTTCACCACATCCCAGATTACTCCAAATACACCTGTGAGAGTTCCACACCCTTATGTCCTCTGAAACATACAAACTCTGCCTCAATACTATGACATAAGTCTTTGTCTATGCATGTTAACACACCTCTAATGCGTTAGTTAGGGATGCCTAGGAGATTTTTTTTGTCTCCCCTGTTCTAGTCATTTTATTTAGTCAGTAACTAAGTCTACGTAATTCCAGCATACACTTTGTATAAATCATGATTTTGCATCAACAGATGATGTGATACTGGACTAACTAGTGATCTAATCTCATTTAATGTTCCGACCATCTCAATAATGTTTCAGCAATTCTGCAAAAGCAAAAATCCATCTTCAAAATAATTTTGTATAATCGCATCCCAGAACTGCTAAACACAATCATTTTCAAAAACATCTGCCTCCAAATGCCAAATACTGTACAGTGCTCTTCAGCATATATAAGTACACCCCCCACAAATCTCTCATTTAAATTAATTATTTCTATATAGATGCTTTACAATATTATTTGTGTGCATATACCTTAGATTAGTCAGTACTGAAGCCATATCTGGAGCTAATCCAATGAGCTAATTTAACAAAATTACTTACAATAATGGTTCAAAATTAGTAGCCTAAATTTATATGTAAGGAAAAAATATTAAATAACATTTTCAAAAATACATAAGTATATACAATTTTGTTGAAATGTTGTAGGTTAGGTTGTATTTCTTATTTCTTACAATATTTTTTTCGATTTCTTATTTTTTTTTTACTCTATTGATTTGCAGGTCAATATTTCCTATATTTTTAAGTTTTTAAAATAATTTATTTTGTGCATAAACTAAGCACTTGTTTCTATAAAAAATTGAGGTTTAAACCCGCGAGTCACATGGATTAGTTTAATGGTGTCTTTTGCATCCAATTCTGGAGCTTGAATGTGTAATCTGCTTCGCTGGAGGGAGAGAAAGCGTGCATATTTCATAAAAAAATTCAAATCTTAATTTGTGCTCTGAGATGAACAAAGATCTTACCCTCAAACCATATGTTTTAGTTTATGCAAAAAATGTGATTATTTCTATGGGATGCAAATATAAAATATTACTGAACTTCGTAAGAAATGTCAAAAAAATGTTGGTGCTTAAAAATAAACACAGATTATTACTCCAGATAAATTAAGTAGATACACAATCCCAAATTAAATGACTAATACAATCATTCACACCTTTAACTGCCAACAAATTAATGCAACTTTACATAATTTGCCAGAAATTATTTTAAAAGTCCTTTATATGCAGAATTTAAATCTACACATTATTGTTACATCTCCAACAGTTGAATGATATTTTGAATGTTCTAGTATACATATTAAACATGGATTATTTTCACACCCTCATTTTTTCTTCACTTTTTGTGTTTCATTTAATAGTTTTAAACTGGATGTAAAACAAATGATTTCCAATATTAAACCTTGCATGATACTGTATACTGTATATATATATATATATATATATATATATATATATATATATATATATATATATATATATATATATATATATATATATATATATATATATATATATATATATATATATA